GGAGGAGGCTGGGCCTGGACCCCCGGGTCTGAGGGAGGAGGCTGGGCTTGGACCTTGGGTCTGAGGGAGGAGGCTAGGTCTGGACCCCTGGGTCTGAGGGAGGAGACTGGGCCTGGACCCCTGGGTCTGAGGGAGGAGGCTGGGCCTGGACCCCTGGGTCTGAGGGAGGAGGCTGGGCTGGACCCCTGGCCCTGAGAGAGGGGGCTGGGCTGGACCCCTGGGTCTGAGGGAAGAGGACTTGAAGTAGGGTTTCCTGTTCCTAAAGAAGAATGAGTCTCACCCTGGCCTTGATCAGCCGCTCCCTCTCTGCGATCGCCTGATGCAGAAGCTTCTCCATGTGAGCGATGTCTGGGTGGAGGGTGGCCCTGCAGCTGGAACCAGGGAACAGAGATTGGCGGGTTACCAGGCCTGGGCCTCTTCCTCCCATCTCCCCACCCCTTCTCCCTGACGTCTCACCTGTTCCCAGGGCCACAGTTTAGCAGCTGATAGAGCGGGTGTCTCCCAGAGGCCTCCACTGCTGGTGTGAGAGTCGAGGCCTCAAGGGGTCCTGAGGGAGAGGGGACCAGATGAGGAGACCAGGACACTCCCAGGCCCAAGTCCCTCTGCTCCTCCCTGCCCCATCTCCATAGTCTGCAGCAGGATGGGAGGAGATGGGGGCAGGAGAGTAGGTGGGGAATGGGAGAGGCCCTCACCAGTACAATGGAGGGACAGAGGTCGTGGGGATCCTCTCTGGCTCCCTCTCTCTCCTCTTCTCCGGGTCAGGCTTCCAGTCCTCTGGAGACCAAAGGAGCCCTGAAAACATGCAAGGCCCAAGCACTCAGGAAGAGGTGTTCCATCTCAGCAGAAAGTTAGAGAACTGCCACGTAAAACTACCACCTAATGGGCACAGATCAAAAATCTTTTTTTTGTTTGTTTTTTGTTTTTTGGCACCGGAGATTGAACTCAGGGGCACTCAACCACTGAGCCACATCCCCAGCCCTATTTTGAATTTTATTTAGAGACAGGGTCTCACTGAGTTGCTTAGTGCCTCGCTGTTGCTGAGGCTGGCTTTGAACCTGCTGGGATTATGGGCATGCGCCACTGCGTCCAGCAAAAATCTGTATTTTTCCCCCCACAGTGCTGAGGATAAAACTCAAGGGCTCGCACAAGCCAGGCAAGCACTTTACTACTGAGTTACATCTGCCACCCTCAAAAATCCTGCTGTCAACATGAGTCAAAGCAGCCAACTGCAAAGGCCCACACTGTCTATGGCACCATTTATATAAAGTATCCAGAGTAAATTAATATAGAGCAAATAAATACAGAGGCAGGAAGTAGAATAGTGATCACCAGGGGCTGGGAGAGATGGGCAAATTGAGGAGTGGTGGCTCTGGGGTGCAGGGTTTCTTTATTTTTTTTGGCAGTGCTGGGGATTGAACCCAGGGCCTGGTGCATGCCAGGCAAGCACTCTACCAACTGAGCTATATCCCAGCTCTTTGGGGGTTAATAAAAGCATTCTGAAGTTGAGCTACACATGGTGGTGCACATCTGTAACCCCAACTAGGGAGGCCGAGGCAGGAGGATCACAGGTCCAGGCCAGCCTGGGCACCTTTGCAAGACTCTGTCTCAAAATGAAAAACAAGGGGCTGGGGCTCAGTGGTGGAGCACTCGCCTAGCACATGTGAGGCCCTGGGTTCCATCCTCAGCACCACATAAAAATAAATAAATAAAAAATAAAGGTCTTGTGTCCATCTACAACTAAAAAAGCATATACATTAAAATTTTTCTTTAAAAATGAAAAATAAAAAGGGCTAGGGATATAGCTCAGTTTTAAATAAATTTTCAATACAGCAATAAATAAATAAATACACATCCACATACATGTGTATGTGTATGTGTGTGTGTATACATACACATATATATATAAATGCATAAATAACATATCCATATATATAATAAGGTGAGAAGTGCACAGACTTACACACGTGCAGCTGGGTACAATGTACATATATTTACACTTGCATACCAGCCACCCACATGGAGACACAGAACAGGCCCATCACTCCAAAGGCTTCCTTGTCCCTCTTCCTGGCCAGTGACACATCTGTCAAGGGACCATTCTTCTGACTTACGAAACCACAGATACATAGTTCCACCTGTTCTGGACTTCATAAAGAAGAATTACAAGTTGGCCGGGAGGTACTATCTCGTAACACAAGTGGCACTTACCAGAATGTTCCCGTATGATAATTCAGCTGTGCATTTGTTTGATGTGATTTTCCACACTTGTCTCGTTTCAATATTAAGTTTTTTTTTTTAATGGCTGGCATTTATCAAGAGCTCATTATCTGTCTCCAGCATACAGCTTTCCCTCCTTATCTGTGGGTTCTGCATCTTTGGATTCAATATGATGCAGGCCAAAAATACTTGCGAGAAAGGAAAACTGTATCTGTCCTCAACATGTTCAAACTTTGTTTCTTGTCCTTATTCACTTAACAATGCAGTACAATAACCATTTCCATTTCCATCATGTGTAAGTGTCTAAGTTATCTCCAGTGTTTTATGGAATACAGGAAGATGTGTCGAGGTTAACTGCAAGTACTCCAACATTTTATATAAGGACTAGAGTCTCCTGAGATATAGGTCTCCTTGGGGGTCCTGGAGACAATCCTTTACAGTCCCAAGGGACGACTGTACCTGGCACTCTGCAGGCCCACTTAAGCTCCTAAAAGCCCTGTGAGGCCACGTGTGGTGGTGGCACCTGTAGTCTGAGCTATTTGGGAGGCTGAGGTGGGGGATCATATGAGTCTGTGAGTTCAAGGCCAGCCCTAGCAAGGTAGGGAGACTCCTATCTCAACAAAACAAAACAAAAAACCCTGAGTTGGGAAATGTTCGCTCTACTTCACAGAGAGGAAACTGAGACCCGAGTCCCTGGGCTTTCCTTCAGCCATATTCCCAGCACTTCCTGGCTGGGAGCTCTTGGATAATTGGCAAATGGGACTGGGCAATGCAGACCCCAGTTTTGTCTGCATGGTGCTTCCATTCTAAGGAACTGAGTGAGCCATCCTACAAATGAACTCATCATCAGAAATTGCTGTGTAAAAAGAGAACAGAGTACTATCAAAAAGGATCATTTTCTAATTAGAAAACCAGGTACAGGCTTCTGAACACCAACTCCCAGCCCCAAAGGATGAGTTGTTCAAGGAAAACTGGGGGGGATGGTGCTTCAAGTGGAAGGATCAGTAAGTACAAAGGCCCTGAGGCATAAAAAAGTATAGAATGTTGGTGGATCAATGCTGAGCACAGTGAATAGGGAGGAGTGGTGAGACATGCGGGCGCCATATCAGCACTTGCAGCTCATGGTGAGGAAGCCTGGGAAGCCACTGACGGTCTTGGGGACGGAGGAATTAAAGCAGGAAGGATGAGGATCACTCTGGCTGTTGTGTGAAGAATGAATTATTATTGGGCTTGGTGTGGTGGTGCACACCTACGATCCCAGCAACTCAGGAGGCTAAGGCAGGAGGATCGCAAGTTTGAGGCCAGCTTTAGCACTTAGCAAGATCCTGCTTCAAAAAATAACAAGAAGGATGGGGATATAGCTCAGTTGGTAGAGTGCTTGCTCGCATGCACAAGGCCCTGGATTCAATCCCCAGCAAAACACACACACACACACACACACACACACACACAATAATAGTAATAATAACAAAAATAAAAAGAGCTGTGGATGTAGCTCAAGTGGTAGAGCACTTGCCTAGGACATGCAAGGCCCTGGATTCAAATGCCAGCACACAGAAAAAGAATAAATTATTGGGAAAAAAAGAATTAAAATGGGAACATTAGTGAGAGGCTGATGCAGTTACAAAAAATAAAAAATATAAACAGATGAGGGTGAATAGATCAAGGATGAAAATAATTATAATAATACTAATAAGTAGAGAAACAGCAGCTCTCACTGAGCATCTACTCTGCTCTGGCCACACTGTCTAGCAACATAGCTGACACTCTAGCTTCTCAGATTTCCACAAGAACCAGCTAGAAAGTTAAATCTATTAACCGTCACCCAAATAATAATAGGTCCTGCTCTTGGGGGTTCTTCTGAGAAAGATATGAAATTCTCTATATTAGGCTGAACCACGTGAAATTGCCAGGAGTTGTTTCTCAGCTCCACATAATAATAATCCCACGTGGCAAAAAGGGACAGAATGGCTTTGAACAGACACTGGCCTATCCTAAATGCTAAAAATGGAATATTGTTATTAATGATCATTAATAATTCATATTCATTTATTAAGTAATAAACATTTTTAAAGTAATTTTAAATATTAATTCATGAATATGAAATATAAATTATGTATAATAATATGATAATACAATAATATATGCTTATATTGAATATAATAGTATTTGGTGATATAATAGTAATTAACATTGTTTGCATAAATGTTATTTTTTGCATAAATGCATACACATGCACACACACACAGGTATTCTTCACAACACTGCTTAAACTGCAAAACCTTCCATCACTGCCTATAGAGGGAGGGCAGCTCAATGCCCCACAATAGAATTGTGTGCCACACGGAAGCCAGAACATTGTCATGGCTGGGACTGGGGTTCTGTGGCAGAGTACTTGTCTAGCATGCAAGAGACACTGGGTTCCATCCCCATCACCACCTAAAATACAATAAAAAAGAACACAGGCTCTGCAAACAGAATGCTTGGGTTCAAATCCTAGCTTTGGCACATGGCACCTAGCTAAGTAAGTTAACCTCTCTGCCTCAGTTTCTTCACCAATAAAATGGAGATAATCTGCCTGTAGAATTGTTGCAAAAATTGAGTGGATAAGCCAGGCGCGGTGGCGCACACCTGTAATCCCAGTAGCTTGGGAAGCTGAGGCAGGAGGATTGTGAGTTTAAAGCCAGCCTCAGCAACTGCAAGGAGCTAAGCAACTCCATAGGACCCTGTCTCTAAGTAAAATACAAAATAGGTCTGGAGATGTGGCTCAGTAGTTGAGTACCCCAGAGTTCAATTCCCAGTATCTGTCCCCCTAAAAAATTAAGTGGGTGAATCTATATGAAGCATTTCTAAGTATGTCAGGCACTCTCCAAGGACTTGATAAGTAGCTGTTATTACTACTATTGTTACTGTTTATATTATTATTACAGCCATTAAAAATGATGAGGCTGGGGTTGGGGTTATGGCTCAGCAGTAGAGTGCTCACTTAGCATGTGCAAAGCCCTGGGTTCGATCCTCAGCACCACAAATAAATAAATAAATAAATAAAGTTGTTAAAAAAACAAAACAAAACCAGAGTCTCCCAAAAGAACTCAATGTTTAAAAAAAAAAAAACAATGATGAGGCAGCTCTAAATGTATCAACAGAGAACAGTTTCCATAATGGAGAACGATAATAAAAAATTAAAAACAACAAAGGAAAGACAGTGGAATGGATCTGACATCATTTTCCCTGTACCCATACGAAAACAACACAGTGAATCCTACCATCAAGAACATCCGTAAGAATGGGATCCTAACTAGAGAAAGATATTCCATGTGTGGATAATTATATCAAGCTGGATTCTGCTGTCATATATAACTTAAAACAACAACAACAACAATAATAACAACAACAACAAAAAACCCCAAAACAATTAGCTAGTACACACATTTTGGGGTAAAAGAAGTTTACATGATATAATGAGAGCTACCAATTTCTAAGTGCTTACAGAAATAAGACTTTTTTTCGTGTAATATTTACCTTACTTCATTCATAGCACTTGGATATTTTCTGCTCCACTTCTTTAAAAAAAATAAATAATAGTACCAACCCATTCAATAAATGTTTAAGCCATTAAGAAAATGGGGCTTCCAGTTTTGGGGGTTGTTTATGTTGTGGTGCTTGGGATCAAACTGGGGCCCTCATGCAGAAAAGCAAATGCTGTGCCACTGAGCTACACCCACAGCTCAAGGGGCCCCCTTTTTACAGAGTTCTGGAAGGATCAAGAACCAAGCAGATGCCCTACTTCTGGAGAGAGGGCCTAGGGGCCTTCAGGGACACAGAGACCTTCTTACCCATACACCCTGTTTGGTCACTTTTAAAATTTACTTCTGGGTTGCACATGCTCTTATTTCTTCAGGGAAGACGTGGGGTGTTAGGCAGAAGGAAGAAAATAAATAAATAAAACTGGAGTCATCAAATACCCCTTGGTCAAGCTTCCCTATCTCCCTCGCCCCCACACAGAGCCCAGTGGAAGTTCTGGACTTGGGCTCTGCTTTTAGGCCCTCCCTCCCGACTGACCAAACAGGCGCATGGGCAAAGGAAGCAGGGGAGGCACCTGCAGGGAGCTGTGGACAGAGAAGAGGCAGGAAGAGGTAGAGGTGGCAGCAGAGTGGCTGGTGGGGTCCTGAAGCACTAGCAGCTGCCGGTCTGTCTTCTGGGTGAACAGCAGCTGGGGAGAGGATGCAAAGATTAAGGGGAGATGAAGAGAACACAGAGGCACCCCCAGTTCTCAGATGGAAAAACAAAGGCTCAGTCACAAGAGGAGCTAGAATGTGGTCCTTAGTGTCTAGTCTCCCAATAAGAGCAAGGGCTGTGGGCCCCCTGCACTGCCGATCCCTGAGGAGGAAGGGCTGGAGCCTGAGCTCCTGAGTGGGGAATTCTGGACCCCAATAGAGGAAGGGTGGGGCCTGGACCCCCATGTCTGAGGGAGGAGGACTGGGCCTGGATCCCTGGGTCTGAGGGAGGAGGGCTGAGGCCTGGATCCTCATGTCTGAAGGAGGAGGACTGGGCCTGAATCCCTGGGTCTGAGGGAGGAGGACTGGGCCTGGATCCTTGGGTCTGAGGGAGGAGGGCTGGGCCTGGATC